GTAGCTGGAGGAAGCGGGGTGGGGAGGGGGCAGCCGCTTCTCAGGCAGGCCCACTCCCTGTTGCCAGATCTGCCACGCTCCCCGTTTAAAAGAGAGCGCTGAGTTTCGGAGTGGTTGTAGCCAACCCTGTGTGCAGGCCCATTGGGGCTCCAGGTGGCCAGCCTGTGTTCTGTGCTTTAAACTTCCCCGTAAGCTAAGGCATCTACCCGTGTGCCGAGCTTCCCATGTGCCAGGCCCTGAGCTGTCCACGGCTGAGACGGGGGCCCTCAGGCCTTGCCCAGACCCCTCATGGCTCTAGTGAGCTGGGAGGCACAGACATGCCTTCCCTGAACACAGTGCCGGTGGGGACACAGGAGGGTTTGGGCACAGACGTGGAGGGTGAAGAGGAAGTTCCTGTGGAATATGGTTCCTCCAGAACCTCTGGAGTTTCCTATTTCAGTATCACATGAAAGTGCTAAGTAGCTGGGTCTTGTTTAGTCCGGCAACCTCACAGCCAGGCTTGAGGGAAGTATTTCATCACTTTTTGGCAGCCTGTGGCTCGGAGGATAAGGGTTCGGAGACACAGGACCTTCCTTCTTCGAAGCCCATGGCGTTTGGATACAACTACCTTGCTGTAGGGAGTTTGCCACCACCTGCCTCAGCAAAGACCCCAGGTGGCATGGCAGTGTTGGAGAAGCAGCTGAGATAGCTTGGAAGTGTTTTTTGTTTTGTTTTTGTTTTTGTTTTTTTTTTTAAGAGGTTTTGCTATAGGGCGCATGAGCTTGCCAGAAAGACAGAGATAGAGAGACAGAAAGCGGGAAATCACCCCCCCCATGGGGGATGGCCACGCTGCAATTCATTCTCCTGCCGGAATCTTGGGCATGCATGCACACACACCTGGCATGAGTTTAAGCCTCTGGGTTTGGGACTCGAACCACGGTCGACTACATGGGAGTCCAGCGACATAGCCACTATGTCATCTGCTGGTCCCTGATGGCTTGGAAGTTTTGAGACGTGACTAAGATAGCTTGGAAGTTCTGAGCTGGGCTAGAGCTACAGGGTGAGGAAAGGCTGGGAATGGCCCATCGCTTCCTACCCAGTGAACTCCTACTTATCCTTCAGGGCCCTTTCCCTGGGAAGCCGTCAAGATTTCTAAAGGCTGTCACTTTGTCCTTTCCCTGGGTACCTACAGTCCCTGCTAGCTCCCTCTGTGCAGCACCCCCCTTCCCATCACTCTGAGGTCAGCAGTCAGGGAAGGCCTCCATAAAGGGGTGACTTTTGAGCAGACATGAAGTAAAGGGGGGAATGAACCAGGTAGACACCTGGGATTAGGATGTTCTAGGCAGAGGCACCAAGATGGGCACTGGCTTGGCACTTCTAGAGAACAGCAAATGTCAGTGAGACTGGAATAGTGGGGAGGAGGACCCCATCCCCATCCATCCTGCTCCCTGCCCCTCCTCTGGTCTCACCATTGCCCCCTCAGGGCCTGGCACACACCAGCTTGTGCACTAATGGAGGAATGAGTGGCTCATTCACTTGCCAGCGAGGAAACAGACTCAGAGAGGTGGACCTACTTGCCCAAGAGCTCACAGAAAGCGAGCAGGATAAGCTTGGCCTTCGAACCCAGGTTTCCTCCTCCAGGGACCTGAAGTCCTCCCCTCCCAGCAGGCTGAGAAGGGCCTGGAGATGGTTAGACATTCCAGCTTTGGCAGTGGAGGAACTGAGAGGGGAGGTACCTCGGGCAATGTCCTGCAGCAGGGAACATTCATTCAATAATCCCACAAATATGAGAGGACTTCAGAAAGTCCATGGAAAACAGAACGAAGGTATGAATTTATTTTGATGCGGAAAATCCATGCGTAGTCCAGCATACACATTTTCCATGCACTTTTTGAATTCCTGGCTTAATGACTTGAGTATTTCAGTGCTCAGGGCCTGGACCAGGCCATGGGTGAGCCCAACTCAGGCCACTCTGTGCAAACACTAACCACACGGTCACATTGCGAGCAAGGGCAGTGCTGGGTGGTGTGGGGTGCCGAGTGGGTGTGCCTGCGGGGGGTGGGCAGCCCTAAAGGGTTGAGCCCAGAGCAGGAGGATGAGATGGTCTTGCAGTAGAAAAGGGAATTCCAGGCAGATGGAACAGTATATGCAAAGACTTGGGCACGGGAGGACTAGCAAGGCAGCCAGTGTGGCTGGACGGAGATCAGGCCAGAATAAGTTGGGAGTTAGGGACTGGAGAGGTCAGCCCGGAGCACTCAGATCTGGTGGGCGGTGGGGAGAAGTGGGGCTTCTTGCTGTGGGTACTGGGGAGCCATGGAGTAGGTGAAAGGCCCCAACGAAGCTTCCGTTCACGCGGGAGGTAGTGAGGCCAGGGGGCTTACCTGCGAACACACAACTAGGTGGGAGGGCCTGCCTCAGTTTCCCTGGGGACAGGCGCTCACTGGGTCTCTCCCCTCGCAGCCAAG